GCAACGCTATAGGCTAACGCCTCCGCTCAGTGCCGCTGGAACGCTATACGCTAACGCCTCCGCTCAGTGCCGCTGGAACGCTATAGGCTAACGCCTCCGCTCAGTGCCGCTGCAACGCTATAGGCTAACGACTCCGCTCAGTGCCGCTGGAACGCTATAGGCTAACGCCTCCGCTCAGTGCCGCTGCAACGCTATAGGCTAACGCCTCCGCTCAGTGCCGCTGCAACGCTATAGGCTAACGCCTCCGCTCAGTGCCGCTGGAACGCTATACGCTAACGCCTCCGCTCAGTGCCGCTGCAACGCTATAGGCTAACGCCTCCGCTCAGTGCCGCTGGAACGCTATAGGCTAACGCCTCCGCTCAGTGCCGCTGCAACGCTATAGGCTAACGCCTCCGCTCAGTGCTGCTGCAACGCTATAGGCTAACGCCTCCGCTCAGTGCCGCTGCAACGCTATAGGCTAACGCCTCCGCTCAGTGCCGCTGGAACGCTATAGGCTAACGCCTCCGCTCAGTGCCGCTGCAACGCTATAGGCTAACGCCTCCGCTCAGTGCCGCTGCAACGCTATAGGCTAACGCCTCCGCTCAGTGCCGCTGCAACGCTATAGGCTAACGCCCTAGACCTGACGGTGTGTGTCAATGACAACAGATAACGTTATAGGCTAACGCCTCCGCTCAGCGCCGTTGCAGCGCTATACGCTAACGCCTCCGCTCAGTGCCGCTGGAACGTTATAGGCTAACGCCTCCGCTCAGCGCCGTTGCAGCGCTATACGCTAACGCCTCCGCTCAGTGCCGGTGTAACGCTATAGGCTAACGCCTCCGCTCAGTGCCGCTGGAACGCTATAGGCTAACGCCTCTGCTCAGTGCCGCTGGAACTCTATACGCTAACGCCTCCGCTCAGTGCCGCTGCAACGCTATAGGCTAACGCCTCCGCTCAGTGCCGCTGGAACGCTATACGCCTCCGCTCAGTGCCGCTGGAACGCTATGCCGCTGCAACGCTAACGCCTCCGCTCAGTGCCGCTGCAACGCTATAGGCTAACGCCTCCGCTCAGTGCCGCTGGAACGCTATAGGCTAACGCCTCCGCTCAGTGCCGCTGCAACGCTATAGACTAACGCCTCTGCTCAGTGCCGCTGGAACGCTATAGGCTAACGCCTCCGCTCAGTGCCGCTGCAACGCTATAGGCTAACGCCTCCGCTCAGTGCCGCTGGAACGCTATAGGCTAACGCCTCTGCTCAGTGCCGCTGGAACGCTATAGGCTAACGCCTCCGCTCAGTGCCGCTGGAACGCTATAGGCTAACGACTCCGCTCAGTGCCGCTGCAGCGCTATAGGCTAACGCCTCCGCTCAGTGCCGCTGCAGCGCTATAGGCTAACGCCTCCGCTCAGTGCCGCTGCAGCGCTATAGGCTAACGCCTCCGCTCAGTGCCGCTGCAGCGCTATAGGCTAACGCCTCCGCTCAGTGCCGCTGCAGCGCTATAGGCTAACGCCTCCGCTCAGTGCCGCTGCAGCGCTATAGGCTAACGCCTCCGCTCAGTGCCGCTGCAGCGCTATAGGCTAACGCTAAGGCCTCCGCTCAGCACCGCTGCAGCACTATAGGCTAACACCTCCGCTCAGTACCGCTGCAATGCTATAGGCTAACGCTAACGCCTCCGCAGCACTATAGGCTAACGCCTCTGCAGCGCTATAGGCTAACACCTCTGCTCTGTGCCACACTGAGCGGAGTGTGTCTGCTGTCGCTGTCGTGGACACACACCGCTAACACACTCAGCGGACGGCGGCGGGCGCGGCTCTGGAGATTGTTGGTGCGGACGGATGAAATAATAGCCCATTCGCGCATCTCTAACACACACACACACACACACGAGTCTGAACATCATCAGGAGGAGTTCATGCTTCAGACGCACCTTCCTCCTCTTCTCGAAGTTGATCAGGCCTCCCTGAGACACACAGACACAAGCCGTTATTAAGAACTGAGAGTCGTCTAACAATCCTTTGTTTTATATAAACAGCTGATGAGAGAAAGGAGAGGAAGTCTGATGTGAGTGTGTGTGTGTGTGTGTGTGTGTGTGTATAGGTGTGTGTCTGAGAGAGAGAGAGAGAGAGAGAGAGAGAGAGAGAGTGTGTGTGTGTGTGTGTGTGTGAGAGAGTGTGTGTGTGCGTGAGTGTGTGTGTGTGTGTGTGTGTATATGTGTGTTTGTGTGTGTCTGAGAGAGAGAGAGTGTGTGTGTGTGTGTGAGAGAGTGTGTGTGTGCGTGAGTGTGTGTGTGTGCGTGAGTGTGTGTGTGTGCGTGAGTGTGTGTGTGTGTGTATGTGTCTGAGAGAGAGAGAGCGAGAGAGAGAGAGTGTGTGTGTATATGTGTGTGTGTGAGAGTGTGTGTGTGTGTGTGTGCGTGAGTGTGTGTGTTTGAGAGTGTGTGTGTACACTCACCGGCCACTTTATTAGGTACACCTGTCCAACTGCTCGTTAACACTTAATTTCTAAGCAGCCAATCACATGGCGGCAACTCAGTGCATGTAGACATGGTCAAGACAATCTCCTGCAGTTCAAACCGAGCATCAGTATGGGGAAGAAAGTTGATTTGAGTGACTTTGAACGTGGCATGATTGTTGGTGCCAGAAGGGCTGGTCTGAGTATTTCAGAAACTGCTAATCTACTGGGATTTTCACGCACAACCATCTCTAGGGTTTACAGAGAATGGTCCGAAAAAGAAAAAACATCCAGTGAGCGGCAGTTCTGTGGGCGGAAATGCCTTGTTGATGCCAGAGGTAAGAGGAGAATGGGCCGACTGATTCAAGCTGATAGAAGGGCAACAGTGACTGAAATAACCACTCGTTACAACCGAGGTATGCAGCAAAGCATTTGTGAAGCCACAACACGCACAACCTTGAGGCGGATGGGCTACAACAGCAGAAGACTCCACCGGGTACCACTCATCTCCACTACAAATAGGAAAAAGAGGCTACAATTTGCAAGAGCTCACCAAAATTGAACAGTTGAAGACTGGAAAAATGTTGCCTGGTCTGATGAGTCTCGATTTCTGTTGAGACATTCAGATGTTAGAGTCAGAATTTGGCGTAAACAGAATGAGAACATGGAACCATCATGCCTTGTTACCACTGTGCAGGCTGGTGGTAGTGGTGTAATGGTGTGGGGGATGTTTTCCTGGCACACTTTAGGCCCCTTAGTGCCAATTGGGTATCGTTTAAATGCCACGGCCTACCTGAGCATTGTTTCTGACCATGTCCATCCCTTTATGGCCACCATGTACCCATCCTCTGATGGCTACTTCCACCATGTCACAAAGCTCTAATCATTTTAAATTGGTTTCTTGAACATGACAATGAGTTCACTGTACTAAAATGGCCTCCACAGTCACCAGATCTCAACCCAATAGAGCATCTTTGGGATGTGGTGGAATGGGAGATTCGCATCATGGATGTGCAGCCGACAAATCTGCGGCAACTGTGTGATGCCATCATGTCAATATGGACCAAACTCCCTGAGGAATGCTTCCAGCACCTTGTTGAATCTATGCCACGAAGAATTGAGGCAGTTCTGAAGGCAAAAGGGGGTCCAACCCGTTACTAGCATGGGGTACCTAATAAAGTGGCCGGTGAGTGTATGTCTGAGAAAGAGAGAGAGAGAGAGAGAGAGTGTGTGTGTGTGTGTCTGTTACACTGATCAGAGAGAGAGACTCACGTCCAGATAGTCTTTCATGGCTGTGTCCATCATCACCAGATCCGTGAGGAAAGTTCCCAGATAAGGAATCGTCCCCTGCATTACAGTCTGGAGAACACAACCAGCCGTGAGTTCAGCCATATAACACACACACATCTCACTCGGATATGAATGCTTATGATGTGTGAATATGTCACCAGATCTCTCTGCGGCTGCTGTCGCTTCTGGGCTCGTTTCGGGTTGATCTCCAGAGTGGCGAATTTAGACGTTCCTTCCTGACAAACACACGCAGCAGACAAACGTTCTCTGAGTTAGGAAGATACACACACACACACTACATACACACTCACTCACACACACACTCACAAACACTATACACACATAAACACTATACACACACTCTCACATACACTCACACTCAGACACACACTCTCTCACACACACACACACTCTCCCACACACATACACACTCTCACACACACACTCACACACACTCACAAACACTTTACACACATAAACACTATATACACACTCTCACACACACTCACACTCAGACACACACTCTCTCTCACACACACACACTCAGACACACACTCTCCCACACACTCTCCCACACACATACACACTCTCCCACACACACACACACTCTCACACATACACACACTCTCACACACATAAACACTCTCAGACACACTCTCACACACACACACACACACACACACAGGTGTGGTATACCTTGATCAGCAGTTCTCTGCTCAGCGAGTGGTTGTTCTCATCAGAGAATATCTCCGACAGCTCCTGGAAGATGCGGATGTTTTCCCGAGAAACTTCATCCCATGTTTTCTTGAGGCGGTGAACCGGATTACACTGGAGCGCGGAGAGGATCGCTCGCAGAGACGAGAAGTTCTTCAGGATCCGACATTCCTGAGCAGAGAAACTCGTCAACATCAACAGTGGACCATCAACCGGTCGTGTGACGCGTTAGTCGTGTGATGCGTTAGTCGTGTGACGCGTTAGTCGTGTGACGCGTTAGTCGTGTGACGCGTTAGTCGTTAGTCGTGTGATGCGTTAGTCGTTAGTCGTGTGATGCGTTAGTCGTTAGTCGTGTGATGCGTTAGTCGTGTGACGCGTTAGTCGTTAGTCGTGTGATGCGTTAGGTCGTGTGACGCGTTAGTCGTTAGTCGTGTGACGCGTTAGTCGTTAGTCGTGTGATGCGTTAGTCGTGTGACGCGTTAGTCGTTAGTCGTGTGATGCGTTAGTCGTGTGACGCGTTAGTCGTTAGTCGTGTGATGCGTTAGTCGTGTGACGCGTTAGTCGTGTGATGCGTTAGTCGTGTGACGCGTTAGTCGTGTGACGCGTTAGTCGTGTGACGCGTTAGTCGTGTGACGCGTTAGTCGTTAGTCGTGTGATGCGTTAGTCGTGTGACGCGTTAGTCGTTAGTCGTGTGATGCGTTAGTCGTGTGACGCGTTAGTCATGTGACGCGTTAGTCGTGTGATGCGTTAGTCGTGTGACGCGTTAGTCATGTGACGCGTTAGTCGTGTGACGCGTTAGTCGTGTGACGCGTTAGTCGTGTGACGCGTTAGTCGTTAGTCGTGTGATGCGTTAGTCATGTGACGCGTTAGTCGTGTGATGCGTTAGTCGTGTGACGCGTTAGTCGTGTGACGCGTTAGTCGTTAGTCGTGTGATGCGTTAGTCATGTGACGCGTTAGTCGTGTGATGCGTTAGTCGTGTGACGCGTTAGTCGTGTGACGCGTTAGTCGTTAGTCGTGTGACGCGTTAGTCATGTGACGCATTAGTCGTGTGATGCGTTAGTCGTGTGACGCGTTAGTCGTGTGACGCGTTAGTCGTGTGACACGTTAGTCGTGTGACGCGTTAGTCGTGTGACGCGTTAGTCGTGTGACGCGTTAGTCGTGTGACGCGTTAGTCGTGTGACGCGTTAGTCGTGTGATGCGTTAGTCGTGTGACGCGTTTGTCGTGTGATGCGTTAGTCATGTAGATCAACAGCTACACGTTATTGACGTGTCTACGTGACGTGATATTTGCGTGTACGTCTCCATATAAAACAAATGGAGACGTACACGCACGTATACACGTGTGTTATCTGTCGTGCTTGTCAGTCTCGTCGCCGAATGGAACATTTCGAGCGCCATAGTGTTAGTCGTGTGACGCGTTAGTCGTGTTAGTCGTGTGACGCGTTAGTCGTGTGACGCGTTAGTCGTGTGACGCGTTAGTCGTGTGACGCGTTAGTCGTGTTAGTCGTGTGACGCGTTAGTCGTGTTAGTCGTGTGACGCGTTAGTCGTGTGACGCGTTAGTCGTGTGACGCGTTAGTCGTGTGACGCGTTAGTCGTGTGACGCGTTAGTCGTGTGACGCGTTAGTCGCATTAGTCGTGTGACGTGTTAGTCGTGTGACGCGTTAGTCGTGTGACGCGCTAGTCGTGTGACGCGTTAGTCGTGTGTGTCGTGTGACGCGTTAGTCGTGTGACGCGTTAGTCGTGTGACGCGTTAGTCGTGTTAGTCGTGTGACGTGTTAATCATGTGACGTGTTAATCGTGTGACGTGTCAGTCGTGTGACGCGTTAGTCGTGTGACGCGTTAGTCATGTGACGCGTTAGTCGTGTGACGTGTTAATCGTGTGACGTGTCAGTCGTGTGACGCGTTAGTCGTGTGACGCGTTAGTCGTGTGACGCGTTAGTCGTGTGACGCGTTAGTCGTGTGTGTCGTGTGACGCGTTAGTCGTGTGACGCGTTAGTCGTGTGACGCGTTAGTCGTGTGACGCGTTAGTCGTGTGACGCGTTAGTCGTGTGACGCGTTAGTCGTGTTAGTCGTGTGACGTGTTAATCATGTGACGTGTTAATCGTGTGACGTGTCAGTCGTGTGACGCGTTAGTCGTGTGACGCGTTAGTCGTGTGACGCGTTAGTCGTGTGACGGCGTTAGTCGTGTGACGCGTTAGTCGTGTGACGTGTTAATCATGTGACGTGTTAATCATGTGACGTGTTAGTCGTGTGACGTGTCAGTCATGTGACGCGTGTGTCATGTGATCAGACTGACTCGGGCCACTTGTATCCAGTGCTCCAGGATCCGGGCCCTCTGCCTGCTTTTCAGCGTTCGCTCGCTCAGACACGTGGAGATAACGCAGTTGGTGTGACGCGTTAGTCGTGTGACGCGTTAGTCGTGTTAGTCGTGTGACGTGTTAGTCGTGTGACGCGTTAGTCGCGTTAGTCGTGTGACGCGTTAGTCGTGTGACGCGTTAGTCGTGTGACGCGTTAGTCGTGTTAGTCGTGTGACGCGTTAGTCGTGTGACGCGTTAGTCGTGTGACGCGTTAGTCGTGTTAGTCGCGTGACGTGTTAGTCGTGTGACGCGTTAGTCGTGTTAGTCGTGTGACGCGTTAGTCGTGTGACGCGTTAGTTGTGTGACGCGTTAGTCGTGTGACGGCGTTAGTCGTGTGACGGTGTTAGTCGAGTGACGCGTTAGTCGTGTTAGTCGTGTGACGCGTTAGTCGTGTGACGCGTTAGTTGTGTGACGCGTTAGTCGTGTGACGGCGTTAGTCGTGTGACGGTGTTAGTCGAGTGACGCGTTAGTCGTGTGATGCGTTAGTCGTGTGACGGCGTTAGTCGTGTGACGCGTTAGTCGTGTGACGGCGTTAGTCGTGTGACGGCGTTAGTCGTGTGACGTGTTAGTCGTGTGACGTGTTAATCATGTGACGTGTTAGTCGTGTGACGTGTTAATCATGTGACGTGTTAATCATGTGACGTGTTAATCATGTGACGTGTTAGTCGTGTGACGTGTTAATCATGTGACGTGTTAGTCGTGTGACGTGTTAATCATGTGACGTGTTAGTCGTGACGTGTCAGTCATGTGACGCGTGTGTCATGTGATCAGACTGACTCGGGCCACTTGTATCCAGTGCTCCAGGATCCGGGCCCTCTGCCCGCTCTTCAGCGTTCGCTCGCTCAGACACGTGGAGATAACGCAGTTGGTGACGCGGTTGAACTGGCTGACCGTGGCTCTGATGGTCGGCGCCAGATGTTCCTTCCCTTTCTTATCTCTCTGAGACCAGATGCTTCCCAAACAGTGATACGGCACCACACGCTTAAACAGCTCCTGCACAACACACACCCAGTTCAGCGTAAACACGTCTTTCTCTCTCTGAGAATGAGACACACAGAGATCTTCCAGTGTGTGTATGTGTGTGACTGAGTGTGTGAGTGAGTGAAGTGAGTGAGTGTATGTGTGTGTGTGTATGTGTGTGACTGAGTGTGTGAGTGAGTGAAGTGAGTGAGTGTATGTGTGTGTGTGTGTGAGTGTGACTGAGTGAGTGAGTGAGTGAGTGTGAGTGAGTGTGTGTGTGTGTGTGTGTGTGTGTGTGTGTGTGTGTGTGTGTGTGTGTGTGTGTGAGAGAGTGTGAGTGTGTGTGTTGCTCACTGCGTCCATCAGGGTGAACTGCTCTGCCACTACAGTCGGGTCAAAGCTCAGGAAATCGGGTCGATCTTCATGGAATCCGTTTTCCTCCAGCAGAGTAAAGGCACAGCAGGCCTGATCCAACACTGCAGACACACACACACACACACACACTTCACTACCAGTAGAAGGGGTGGTGATGGCGCAGTGGATAAGACACATGCCTTTGGTGTGAGAGACCCGGGTTCGAATCCACTGTGAGACATCAATGTGTCCCTGAGCAAGACACTTAACCCCTAGTTGCTCCAGAGGCGTGCGACCTCTGACATATATAGCAATTGTAAGTCGCTTTGGATAAAAGCGTCAGCTAAATGAATAAATGTAAATGTGTAAATGTAGATGGCACTAACGTCAGCAGAAAATCAAAAGCTTCATCTGACCCAGTGGAAATGAGTTAGATGATTATATGATTAACTAACAACATCACTGAACACACACGTCTATTCTAGATCAGCTCAGGACTGAGTGGAGATGAAGGACTGAGTGGAGATGAAGGACTGAGATGAAGGAATGAGTGGAGATGAAGGACTGAGTGGAGATGAAGGAATGAGTGGAGATGAAGGACTGAGTGGAGATGAAGGAATGAGTGCAGATGAAGGACTGAGTGGAGATGAAGGACTGAGTGGAGATGAAGGAATGAGTGCAGATGAAGGAATGAGTGGAGATGAAGAACTGAGTGGAGATGAAGGACTGAGTGGAGATGAAGGAATGAGTGGAGATGAAGGAATGAGTGGAGATGAAGGACTGAGTGGAGATGAAGGACTGAGATGAAGGAATGAGTGGAGATGAAGGACTGAGTGGAGATGAAGAACTGAGTGGAGATGAAGGACTGAGTGGAGATGAAGGAATGAGTGGAGATGAAGAACTGAGTGGAGATGAAGGACTGAGTGGAGATGAAGGACTGAGTGGAGATGAAGGACTGAGTGGAGATGAAGGACTGAGTGGAGATGAAGGAATGAGTGGAGATGAAGGAATGAGTGGAGATGAAGGAATGAGTGCAGATGAAGGACTGAGTGGAGATGAAGGAATGAGTGCAGATGAAGGACTGAGTGGAGATGAAGGACTGAGTGGAGATGAAGAACTGAGTGGAGATGAAGGACTGAGTGGAGATGAAGGACTGAGTGGAGATGAAGGAATGAGTGGAGATGAAGGAATGAGTGGAGATGAAGAACTGAGTGGAGATGAAGGAATGAGTGGAGATGAAGGACTGAGTGGAGATGAAGGAATGAGTGGAGATGAAGGAATGAGTGAAGGAATGAGTGGAGATGAAGGAATGAGTGGAGATGAAGGAATGAGTGAAGATGAAGAACTGAGTGGAGATGAAGGACTGAGTGGAGATGAAGGAATGAGTGGAGATGAAGGACTGATTGGGGATGAAGGAATGAGTGGAGATGAAGAAATGAGTGGAGATGAAGGACTGATTGGGGATGAAGGAATGAGTGCAGATGAAGGAATGAGTGGAGATGAAGGACTGAGTGGAGATAAAGGAATGAGTGGAGATGAAGGACTGATTGGGGATGAAGGAATGAGTGCAGATGAAGGAATGAGTGGAGATGAAGGAATGAGTGGAGATGAAGAACTGAGTGGAGATGAAGGACTGAGTGGAGATGAAGGAATGAGTGCAGATGAAGGACTGAGTGGAGATGAAGGACTGAGTGGAGATGAAGGAATGAGTGGAGATGAAGGAATGATTGGAGATGAAGAACTGAGTGGAGATGAAGGAATGAGTGGAGATGAAGGAATGAGTGGAGATGAAGAACTGAGTGGAGATGAAGGACTGAGTGGAGATGAAGGAATGAGTGCAGATGAAGGACTGAGTGGAGATGAAGGACTGAGTGGAGATGAAGGAATGAGTGGAGATGAAGGAATGAGTGGAGATGAAGAAATGAGTGGAGATGAAGGACTGATTGGGGATGAAGGAATGAGTGCAGATGAAGGAATGAGTGGAGATGAAGGACTGAGTGGAGATAAAGGAATGAGTGGAGATGAAGGAATGAGTGCAGATGAAGGACTGAGTGCAGATGAAGGAATGAGTGGAGATGAAGGAATGAGTGGAGATGAAGAACTGAGTGGAGATGAAGAAATGAGTGGAGATGAAGGACTGATTGGGGATGAAGGAATGAGTGCAGATGAAGGAATGAGTGGAGATGAAGGACTGAGTGCAGATGAAGGAATGAGTGGAGATGAAGAAATGAGTGGAGATAAAGGAATGAGTGGAGATGAAGGAATGAGTGCAGATGAAGGACTGAGTGCAGATGAAGGAATGAGTGGAGATGAAGGAATGAGTGGAGATGAAGAACTGAGTGGAGATGAAGAAATGAGTGGAGATGAAGGACTGATTGGGGATGAAGGAATGAGTGCAGATGAAGGAATGAGTGGAGATGAAGGAATGAGTGCAGATGAAGGAATGAGTGGAGATGAAGAAATGAGTGGAGATGAAGGACTGATTGGGGATGAAGGAATGAGTGCAGATGAAGGAATGAGTGGAGATGAAGGACTGAGTGGAGATAAAGGAATGAGTGGAGATGAAGGACTGATTGGGGATGAAGGAATGAGTGCAGATGAAGGAATGAGTGGAGATGAAGGAATGAGTGGAGATGAAGAACTGAGTGGAGATGAAGGACTGAGTGGAGATGAAGGAATGAGTGCAGATGAAGGACTGAGTGGAGATGAAGGACTGAGTGGAGATGAAGGAATGAGTGGAGATGAAGGAATGATTGGAGATGAAGAACTGAGTGGAGATGAAGGAATGAGTGGAGATGAAGGACTGAGTGGAGATGAAGGAATGAGTGGAGATGAAGAACTGAGTGGAGATGAAGGACTGAGTGGAGATGAAGGACTGAGTGGAGATGAAGGAATGAGTGGAGATGAAGGAATGAGTGCAGATGAAGGAATGAGTGGAGATGAAGGAATGAGTGGAGATGAAGGAATGATTGGAGATGAAGAACTGAGTGGAGATGAAGGAATGAGTGGAGATGAAGGACTGAGTGGAGATGAAGAACTGAGTGGAGATGAAGGACTGAGTGGAGATGAAGGACTGAGTGGAGATGAAGGAATGAGTGGAGATGAAGGAATGAGTGGAGATGAAGGACTGAGTGGAGATGAAGGAATGATTGGAGATGAAGAACTGAGTGGAGATGAAGGAATGAGTGGAGATGAAGGAATGAGTGGAGATGAAGGAATGAGTGGAGATGAAGGACTGAGTGGAGATGAAGGACTGAGTGGAGATGATGAAGGACTGAGTGGAGATGAAGGATTGAGTGCAGATGAAGGACTGAGTGGAGATGAAGGACTGAGTGGAGATGAAGGAATGAGTGCAGATGAAGGACTGAGTGGAGATGAAGGACTGAGTGGAGATGAAGGACTGAGTGGAGATGAAGGACTGAGTGGAGATGAAGGAATGAGTGGAGATGAAGAACTGAGTGGAGATGAAGGAATGATTGGAGATGAAGAACTGAGTGGAGATGAAGGAATGAGTGGAGATGAAGGACTGAGTGGAGATGAAGGACTGAGTGGAGATGAAGGACTGAGTGGAGATGAAGGACTGAGTGGAGATGAAGGACTGAGTGGAGATGAAGGATTGAGTGCAGATGAAGGACTGAGTGGAGATGAAGGACTGAGTGGAGATGAAGGACTGAGTGGAGATGAAGGAATGAGTGCAGATGAAGGAATGATTGGAGATGAAGAACTGAGTGGAGATGAAGGAATGATTGGAGATGAAGAACTGAGTGGAGATGAAGGAATGAGTGGAGATGAAGGACTGAGTGGAGATGAAGAACTGAGTGGAGATGAAGGACTGAGTAGAGATGAAGGACTGAGTGGAGATGAAGGACTGAGTGGAGATGAAGGAATGAAGGAATGAGTGGAGATGAAGGAATGAGTGGAGATGAAGGACTGAGTGGAGATGAAGGAATGATTGGAGATGAAGAACTGAGTGGAGATGAAGGAATGAGTGGAGATGAAGGACTGAGTGGAGATGAAGGAATGAGTGGAGATGAAGGACTGAGTGGAGATGAAGGAATGAGTGCAGATGAAGGACTGAGTGGAGATGAAGGACTGAGTGGAGATGAAGGACTGAGTGCAGATGAAGGACTGAGTGGAGATGAAGGAATGATTGGAGATGAAGAACTGAGTGGAGATGAAGGACTGAGTGGAGATGAAGGAATGAGTGCAGATGAAGGAATGAGTGGAGATGAAGGACTGAGTGCAGATGAAGGAATGAGTGGAGATGAAGGAATGAGTGGAGATGAAGGAATGATTGGAGATGAAGGACTGAGTGGAGATGAAGGAATGAGTGCAGATGAAGGAATGAGTGGAGATGAAGAACTGAGTGGAGATGAAGGACTGAGTGGAGATGAAGGAATGAGTGGAGATGAAGGACTGAGTGGAGATGAAGGAAGGAGTGGAGATGAAGGACTGAGTGAAGATGAAGGAATGAGTGGAGATGAAGGACTGAGTGGAGATGAAGGAATGATTGGAGATGAAGAACTGAGTGGAGATGAAGGACTGAGTGGAGATGAAGGACTGAGTGGAGATGAAGGACTGAGTGGAGATGAAGAACTGAGTGGAGATGAAGAACTGAGTGGAGATGAAGGACTGAGTGGAGATGAAGGAATGAGTGCAGATGAAGGAATGAGTGGAGATGAAGGACTGAGTGGAGATGAAGGAATGAGTGGAGATGAAGGAATGAGTGCAGATGAAGGAATGAGTGGAGATGAAGGACTGAGTGGAGATGAAGGAATGAGTGGAGATGAAGGACTGAGTGGAGATGAAGGAATGAGTGGAGATGAAGGAATGAGTGGAGATGGAGGACTGAGTGGAGATGAAGAACTGAGTGGAGATGAAGGACTGAGTGGAGATGAAGGAATGAGTGGAGATGAAGAACTGAGTGGAAATGAGAGGAGATGAAGGACTGAGTGGAGATGAAGGACTGAGTGGAGATGAAGGAATGAGTGGAGATGAAGGAATGAGTGCAGATGAAGAACTGAGTGGAGATGAAGGACTGAGTGGAGATGAAGGAATGAGTGGAGATGAAGAACTGAGTGGAGATGAGAGGAGATGAAGGACTGAGTGGAGATGAAGGAATGAGTGGAGATGAAGGACTGATTGGAGATGAAGGACTGATTGGGGATGAAGGAATGAGTGCAGATGAAGGAATGAGTGGAGATGAAGGAATGAGTGGAGATGAAGAACTGAGTGGAGATGAAGGACTGAGTGGAGATGAAGGAATGAGTGCAGATGAAGGACTGAGTGGAGATGAAGGAATGAGTGGAGATGAAGGAATGAGTGGAGATGAAGGAATGAGTGGAGATGAAGGACTGATTGGGGATGAAGGAATGAGTGCAGATGAAGGAATGATTGGAGATGAAGGAATGAGTGGAGATGAAGAACTGAGTGGAGATGAAGAACTGAGTGGAGATGAAGGACTGAGTGGAGATGAAGGAATGAGTGCAGATGAAGGAATGAGTGGAGATGAAGGAATGAGTGCAGATGAAGGACTGAGTGGAGATGAAGGACTGAGTGGAGATGAAGGAATGAGTGCAGATGAAGGAATGAGTGGAGATGAAGGAATGAGTGCAGATGAAGGAATGAGTGGAGATGAAGGACTGAGTGGAGATGAAGGACTGAGTGCAGATGAAGGAATGAGTGGAGATGAAGGACTGAGTGGAGATGAAGGACTGAGTGGAGATGAAGGAATGAGTGGAGATGAAGGAATGAGTGGAGATGAAGGACTGAGTGGAGATGAAGGAATGAGTGGAGATGAAGAACTGAGTGGAGATGAGAGGAGATGAAGGAATGAGTGGAGATGAAGGACTGAGTGGAGATGAAGAACTGAGTGGAGATGAAGGAATGAGTGGAGATGAAGAACTGAGTGGAGATAAAGAACTGAGTGGAGATAGTGGAGATGAAGGAATGAGTGGAGATGAAGGAATGAGTGGAGATGAAGGACTGAGTGGAGATGAAGGAATGAGTGGAGATGAAGGACTGAGTGGAGATGAAGGAATGAGTGGAGATGAAGGACTGAGTGGAGATGAGAGGAGATGAAGGAATGAGTGGAGATGAAGAACTGAGTGGAGATGAAGGAATGAGTGGAGATAAAGAACTGAGTGGAGATGAAGAACTGAGTGGAGATGAAGGAATGAGTGGAGATGAAGGAATGAGTGAAGATGAAGGACTGAGTGGAGATGGAGATGAAGGAATGAGTGGAGATGAAGGACTGAGTGGAGATGAAGGACTGATTGGGGACGAACCCTCCTGGTGTGATTCCTGCGTGAGTCTGCGGTGGAACTGGCTCAGGAGATTACAGGCCCGGCGCTCCAGGTCAGATCCCGGGAAGTTGAGCTGCAGGTAGTGGATCAGGCGCCTCAGACAGGAGTAATCCGGGGGCTTCCAGAAGTCCTCAGAGTACTGATCCAACCAGGCGCCCAGGATGGAGGAGACGGTGCTGCACACACACACACACACACACACACACGTGAATGTAATGTTCAACCGGAAAGGCTTTAAAGCACATGCAAATAATGAACTTTTGTGAATTGCAGTGTCCCGTGAGTGTAACTCTACCTCTTCACAACATGTGATGTGAATGTACGTATCGATACTAGAGGTTGGAATATTGATACAGTATCGATATGTTTGCACAGCCCTAGGTTTAATGTGGAGTTGGTCACCCTTTGCAGCTATAACAGCTCAGGTTCCTTCACACCAAACTCCTCATCCATGTCTTTATGGACCTGCTTTGTGTACTGGTGCGCAGTCATGCTCGAACAGGAACATCACCAAACTCTTCCCACAAAGTTGGGAGCATGAAATTGTCCAAAATTTCTTGGTAGGCTGAAGCATTATGAGTTCCTTTCACTGGAACTAAGAGGCCAAGCCTGAAAACAACCCCACACCATAATCCCCCCTCCACCAAACATTACAGCTGGCACAATGCAGTCAGGCAAGTACCATTCTCCTAGCAACCACCAAACCCAGACTCGTCTATCGGATTGCCAGACAGAGACACGTGATTCGTCACTCCAGAGAACACGTCTCCACTGCATCCCACGCTTTACACCACTGCATCCCACGCTTTACTCCACTGCATCCCACGCTTTACTCCACTGCATCCCACGCTTTACACCACTGCATCCAACGCTTTACTCCATTGCATCCCACGCTTTACACCACTGCATCCCACGCTTTACACCACTGCATCCCACGCTTTACTCCACTGCATCCCACGCTTTACACCACTGCATCCCACGCTTAACTCCACTGCATCCCACGCTTTACTCCACTGCATCCCACGCTTTACACCACTGCATCCCACGCTTTACTCCACTGCATCCCACGCTTTACTCCACTGCATGCCACGCTTTACTCCACTACATCCCATGCTTTACTCCACTGCATCCCACGCTTTACTCCACTGCATCCCACGCTTTACACCATTGCATCCCACGCTTTACACCACTGTATCCCACGCTTTACTCCACTGCATCCCACGCTTTACACCACTGCATCCAACGCTTTACTCCATTGCATCCCACGCTTTACACCACTGCATCCCACGCTTTACACCACTGCATCCCACGCTTTACACCACTGCATCCCACGCTTTACTCCACTGCATCCCACGCTTTACACCACTGCATCCCACGCTTTACACCACTGCATCCCACGCTTTACACCACTGCATCCCACGCTTTACACCACTGCATCCCACGCTTTACACCACTGCATCCCACGCTTTACTCCACTGCATCCCACGCTTTACACCACTGCATCCCACGCTTTACACCACTGCATCCCACGCTTTACTCCACTGCATCCCACGCTTTACATCACTGCATCCCACGCTTTACACCATTGCATCCCACGCTTTACTCCACTGCACCCCACGCTTTACTCCACTGCACCCCACGCTTTACTCCACTGCATCCCAAACTTTACTCCACTGCATCCCACGCTTTACTCCACTGCATCCCACGCTTTACTCCACTGCATCCCACGCTTTACTCCACTGCATCCCACGCTTTACTCCACTGCATCCCACGCTTTACACCATTGCATCCCACGCTTTACACCACTGCATCCCACGCTTTACTCCACTGCACCCCACGCTTTACTCCACTGCATCCCACGCTTTACTCCACTGCATCCCACACTATACTCCACTGCATCCCACACTTTACTCCACTGCATCCCACGCTTTACACCACTGCATCCCACGCTTTACACCACTGCATCCCACCCTTTACTCCACTGCACCCCACGCTTTACTCCACTGCACCCCACGCTTTACTCCACTGCATCCCACGCTTTACACCATTGCATCCCACGCTTTACTCCACTGCACCCCACGCTTTACTCCACTGCATCCCACGCTTTACTCCACTGCATCCCACACTATACTCCACTGCATCCCACACTTTACTCCACTGCATCCCACACTATACTCCACTGCATCCCACGCTTTACTCCACTGCATCCCACGCTTTACACCACTGCATCCCACGCTTTACACCACTGCACCCCCCGCTTTACACCACTGCATCCCACGCTTTACACCACTGCATCCCACGCTTTACACCACTGCATCCCACGCTTTACATCACTGCACCCCACGCTTTACATTACTGCATCCCACGCTTTACACCACTGCATCCCACGCTTTACATCACTGCATCCCACGCTTTACACCACTGCATTCCACGCTTTAAACCACTGCATCCCACGCTTTACACCACTGCATTCCACGCTTTAAACCACCGCATCCCACGCTTTACATCACTGCACCCCACGCTTTACATCACTGCATCCCACGCTTTACACCACTGCATCCCACGCTTTACATCACTGCATCCCACGCTTTACTCCACTGCATCCCACGCTTTACACCACTGCATCCCACGCTTTACACCACTGCATCCCACGCTTTACACAACTGCACCCCACGCTTTACTCCACTGCATTCCACGCTTTACACCACTGCATCACGCTTTACACCACTGCATCCCACGCTTTACACCACTGCATCCCACGCTTTACACAACTGCACCCCACGCTTTACTCCACTGCATCCCACGCTTTACTCCACTGCATCCCACGCTTTACACCACTGCATCCCACGCTTTACACCACTGCATCCCACGCTTTACACAACTGCACCCCACGCTTTACTCCACTGCATTCCACGCTTTACACCACTGCATCACGCTTTACACCACTGCATCCCACGCTTTACACCACTGCATCCCACGCTTTACACAACTGCACCCCACGCTTTACTCCACTGCATCCCACGCTTTACTCCACTGCATCCCACGCTTTACACCACTGCATCCCCCGCTTTACTCCACTGCATCCCACGCTTTACTCCACTGCATGCCCCGCTTTACTCCACTGCATCCCCCGCTTTACTCCACTGCACCCCACGCTTTACTCCACTGCATCCCACGCTTTACTCCACTGCATCCCACGCTTTACTCCACTGCATCCCACGCTTTACTCCACTGCATCCCACGCTTTACACCACTGCATCCCACTCTTTACACCACTGCACCCCCCGCTTTACACCACTGCATCCCACGCTTTACACCACTGCATCCCACGCTTTACTCCACTGCATCCCACGCTTTACTCCACTGCATCCCACGCTTTACACCACTGCATCCAACGCTTTACTCCATTGCATCCCACGCTTTACACCACTGCATCCCACGCTTTACACCACTGCATCCCACGCTTTACACCACTGCATCCCACGCTTTACTCCACTGCATCCCACGCTTTACTCCACTGCATGCCACGCTTTACTCCACTGCATCCCATGCTTTACTCCACTGCATCCCACGCTTTACTCCACTGCATCCCACGCTTTACACCATTGCATCCCACGCTTTACTCCACTGCATCCCACGCTTTACACCACTGCATCCCACGCTTTACACCACTGCATCCCACGCTTTACACCACTGCATCCCACGCTTTACACCACTGCATCCCACGCTTTACTCCACTGCATCCCACGCTTTACACCACTGCATCCCACGCTTTACACCACTGCATCCCACGCTTTACTCCACTGCATCCCACGCTTTACACCACTGCATCCCACGCTTTACACCACTGCATCCCACGCTTTACTCCACTGCATCCCACGCTTTACATCACTGCATCCCACGCTTTACACCATTGCACCCCACGCTTTACTCCACTGCACCCCACGCTTTACTCCACTGCATCCCACGCTTTACTCCACTGCACCCCAAACTTTACTCCACTGCATCCCACGCTTTACACCACTGCATCCCACGCTTTACACCATTGCACCCCACGCTTTACTCCACTGCACCCCACGCTTTACTCCACTGCACCCCACGCTTTACTCCACTGCATCCCACGCTTTACTCCACTGCACCCCAAACTTTACTCCACTGCATCCCACGCTTTACACCACTGCATCCCACGCTTTACTCCACTGCACCCCACGCTTTACTCCACTGCATCCCACGCTTTACTCCACTGCATCCCACACTATACTCCACTGCATCCCACACTTTACTCCACTGCATCCCACGCTTTACACCACTGCATCCCACGCTTTACACCACTGCATCCCACGCTTTACACCACTGCATCCCACCCTTTACTCCACTGCACCCCACGCTTTACTCCACTGCACCCCACGCTTTACTCCACTGCATCCCACCCTTTACTCCACTGCATCCCACGCTTTACTCCACTGCATCCCACGCTTTACTCCACTGCATCCCACCCTTTACTCCACTGCATCCCACACTTTACTCCACTGCATCCCACGCTTTACACCACTGCATCCCACGCTTTACACCACTGCATCCCACGCTTTACACCACTGCATCCCACCCTTTACTCCACTGCACCCCACGCTTTACTCCACTGCACCCCACGCTTTACTCCACTGCACCCCACGCTTTACTCCACTGCATCCCACGCTTTACTCCACTGCATCCCACGCTTTACACCACTGCATCCCACGCTTTACTCCACTGCATCCCACGCTTTACACCACTGCATCCCACCCTTTACACCACTGCACCCCACGCTTTACACCACTGCACCCCACGCTTTACCCCACTGCATCCATGGAAACCCATTCCATGAAGCTCTACTCACTGTTCTTGAGCTAATCAGAAGGCCACAGAAGTTTGGAGGCCTGTAGCTGTTGACTGCAGAAAGTTGGCCACTTCTGCGCATTGTGAGCCTCAGCCTGCTCTGACCCCGCTCTGGGATTTTACGTAGCTGAGTTGCTATTGTTCCCAATTGCTCCCACTTTGTTATAATACCACTAACAGTTGACCGTGGAATATTTAGTAGTGAGGAAATTTCATGAATGGACTTATTGCACAGATGGCAACCGATCGCGGTACCACGCTTGAGTTCACTGAGCTCCTGAGTGCGACCCATTCTTTCACAGATGTGTGTAGAATGACTAGTGCTTGATGACTAGACACACTTCATGACTAGTGCTTGATTTATACAACTGGGGCCATGGAAGTGAGTGGAACACCTGAATTCAATGATTTGGAGGCGTGTCCCAATACTTTTGGAAATGTAGTGTATGTTTCACGCACAGATTCTGGAAGTGCACAAATAAATCGCTGTGTTTCAGACATGAGTCACATACTTCCTGAGCTCCGTTCGCTCGTCTGCGGTCATTCTGCGCGATTCTGCGCCCGGCTGCAGTTTAGCGTATCTGTGAGAACACACACACATTGCATTATTCAGATCAGTTCAGTTCATGGTTCTGTTCTCAGTGCAGCTAAATGTTTGTGTGATTGTGTGTGTGTGTGTGTGTGTGTGTGTGTGTAAGTGTGTGTGTGAGTGAGTGAGTGAGTGTGTGTGAGTGTGTGACCTGTTGAGCAGCAGGTCCAGCACTTGTTTAGTAGTAGCGAAGGTCCTGTAAGTGCAGAGGAAGATGGTGACGTATGTGGAGTCGTTCCCTCTGAAGGCCGTCACCATATTCTCCACCAGTCGCTCCAGCGTCCCGGCTCTGATGATGCGCAGCTTACAGGTCTCGTACAGACCCAGACCCGAGTCCGAGTCCAGACCCGTCCAGCGCTGGCTTCTGCTCGACGACTGGTACAACTGGACCTTCCTCAGCGTGATGCTGAACACGGCACCGTCCTCCACCTCCTCACCGATCTCCTGACTCGCATTCTACACACACACACACACACACACACACGAAGAAGACATCAGTTCACACGACACGACAGGCCTTCATCTGCTGCTGTGAGTTCATGAGTGTTAAAGGTGACATGTTACGCCCCTTTCCACAAGATGTAATATAAATCTCTGGCGTCTCCAGAATGTGTCTGTGAAATTTCAGCTCAAAATACCAGATCATGTATTAAAGCTCGTAAAATTTGCCCCTTTTGTGTGTGAGCAAAACGTGCCGTTTTTGTGTGTGTCTCTTTAAATGCAAATGAGCTTTAGCCTCCGTTCAGAAGAGGGCGGAGCCTTTACACGAGCTTCAGAGACTCCGGCAATAACAACACAGGCCAATCTCACTGATCCAGAATCAGGAGTAACAGCAGCGAGTGCAGCCTTACGGAGAGACTCAGGGAGAGCTTCACTTTTACACGTTTCTGAATGTTAGCGGAGACATTTCTGTAGTTGTTGTGGAGTTACACTGATCATCTCCTCATCATGGTGAACTCTTCCACAAGTGTCCACAGTTCCTGAGGTGTTTATAAGACAGCGCTGACATGTTCTGGTCAATAGTGTTCAGTGTCGTCTGTGCTCGACCACAGAACAGTTTCAGGCTTTGCTGGATCTTCTCCAGTGCGTTAGAACTGGTCTCTGTTGGCGCTCGCCGAACCCAATGTCGCTGGTGTGTGTGAACGTGCAGATTAAGGGCCGGGAATATTATAATAAGATCCTCTTCATACGGAAGAAGGAGCGAAATCTGCACAAACAAAATTACCGGGTTTCACTTTTCACGTTTTCTGTGTCGGTAGAAGCGGACGATTATTGCACTTACACACAGAGAAAGTCAGATTTTCATCATATGTCCCCTTTAAAGCTTCTCACAAGCTCAGAGAGAGAGAGAGAGAGAGAGAGAGAGAGAGAGAGAGAGACAGAGAGAGAGAGAGAGAGAGACGAGGTGTGTCGTGTTTCAGGAAGCTTCAGTGATTCACATCGATCAATAACTGAAACAGAAAACAAGTTTCACAATCACCGTCTCTGTGTGTGTGTGTGTGTGTGTGTGTGTGTTCATCTCTGGAAACTAGGGATGAGCAAAACCACAGTCCTGAACAACTACTCAAACATGACACACACACACACACTTATTCGTGTTCCTGACGAATAAAGGAGAGAAACTCATATTCATCCCTCTGACCTCTTTAAATATGATCTATAAATCAGTCTTCAGGGAACATTCAGGATTCGGGTTTCGGCAAATAAAGCTCAGGCATTACCCAGAGTGCTTTGCACAGAGAGCAGTCCGTGCTTTACAGGTTTTCAGATGAACCAGATCAGACTAACAGGAGTCAGCCGACGGAACTGAGTCCAAGTGAGTCGTGTGGATAAAAGCTTCGGCATCAACTGTACAAATGTAGAGGTAATAATCAATATTAAACAGGACTGGAGAATGCTGGATATTGAGTCGCGCGCACACACACACACACACACACACCTGATAATCCGACAGGAAGATAAAACACATATTTTTGCAATAACACCCCATGCCTGTTTAATAATTAATAATCATAATTAGTAACCATTCTTACTGACACAATCATAAAGTTACTGTAACTTAGTTAGGCCTACACCTTTAAATAATATAACGTATTAAAATATATGTATTGTAACATGTTATAAGCACATTACATTTGGTGCTGATCATGAATTATAAGGAATTAAGCTGCATAACAATGAAAGTGGTATACATGTGGTTGCACTGATTTATTACGGTGCACAACTGATGACAGGTGTGTATTATGTGGCATCATCCATATTTTTTATTTAATATACCCAGATTAATAATATTCAAAACAATATTGCTTATAATAATACAGTCTGTTATTATTAGTATTTTTATAAGTAATATTATTTTGAATATTACAAGTGTAATAATAGCCCAATACAGTCTGTTATCATAATAACTGCTGCTCTTCACGAGTTATTGTTTGTACCTCCAGCTGAGGTGTGTCCGGGTCCAGCGGAGTGAATCGGTTCAGAACCGCAGGATTCGGTTCGTCGTGAATCTCGAGTCTCACCGAGTCCCGGATGCTCCGGATCCGCCAAACACTGGCGTCAAACATGACGAACTCACATCCCGCAACACACACCATCGGTACCGGGAAACCCAACCGAACTACAGCCTAACGCGGCCATCACTGACTGAGTGAGAGACTATAGGAGTGAGAGCGAGAGAGAGAGAGAGAGTTCGGACCCCGCCTCTTCTCCGCTCGGATCATGATGTCATTCTCACATCAGAACCACAGAATGTCAATAAACACGAGACAGAAGGCTGAAACTGGGCGGAACTTCGGGCGACCAAAATACCAAACAAAATAATAATAATAATTTAACACAGATCGCTGATTTTATTCATATTTTTTGTTCGAATCCGTGGAATTATTATATTTGAATGCGATGTACTTTCAGTTCATACATGTGTATCTATCAGCGCCTGTTGAGCCGCTGAGCGCCCCCTGCTGGAGGAACTCGGCACGACCTGCTGAGATTCATCTGAGAATAGAGTTACAGACACGAGTTTACTGTATCTTCTGGGAGAATAGAGTTACAGACACGAGTTTACTGTATAAACATCTTCTGGGAGAATAGAGTTACAGAGACGAGTTTACTGTATAAACACCTTCTGGGAGAATAGAGTTACAGACACAAGTTTACTGTATAAACACCTTCTGGGAGAATAGAGTTACAGACACGAGTTTACTGTATCTTCTGGGAGAAAAGAGTTACAGAGACGAGTTTACTGTATAAACACCTTCTGGGAGAATAGAGTTACAGACACAAGTTTACTGTATCTTCTGGGAGAATAGAGTTACAGACACAAGTTTACTGTATAAACATCTTCTGGGAGAATAGAGTTACAGAGACGAGTTTACTGTATAAACACCTTCTGGGAGAATAGAGTTACAGACACGAGTTTACTGTATAAACATCTTCTGGGAGAATAGAGTTACAGAGACGAGTTTACTGTATAAACATCTTCTGGGAGAATAGAGTTACAGACACGAGTTTACTGTATAAACACCTTCTGAGAGAATAGAGTTACAGAGACGAGTTTACTGTATAAACACCTTCTGGGAGAATAGAGTTACAGACACGAGTTTACTGTATAAACATCTTCTGGGAGAATAGAGTTACAGACACGAGTTTACTGTATAAACATCTTCTGGGAGAATAGAGTTACAGACACAAGTTTACTGTATCTTCTGGGATAATAGAGTTACAGACACAAGTTTACTGTATAAACATCTTCTGGGAGAATAGAGTTACAGAGACGAGTTTACTGTATAAAAACCTTCTGGGAGAATAGAGTTACAGACACAAGTTTACTGTATCTTCTGGGAGAATAGAGTTACAGAGATGAGTTTACTGTATAAACACCTTCTGGGAGAATAGAGTTACAGACACAAGTTTACTGTATAAACACCTTCTGGGAGAATAGAGTTACAGACACGAGTTTACTGTATCTTCTGGGAGAATAAAGTTACAGACACGAGTTTACTGTATAAACATCTTCTGGGAGAATAGAGTTACAGAGACGAGTTTACTGTATAAACACCTTCTGGGAGAATAGAGTTACAGACACAAGTTTACTGTATAAACATCTTCTGGGAGAATAGAGTTACAGAGACGAGTTTACTGTATAAACACCTTCTGGGAGAATAGAGTTACAGAGACGAGTTTACTGTATAAACATCTTCTCGGAGAATAGAGTTACAGACAGGAGTTTACTGTATCTTCTGGGAGAATAGAGTTACAGACACGAGTTTACTGTATAAACACCTTCTGGTAGAATAGAGTTAGAGACACGAGTTTACTGTATAAACATCTTCTGAGAGAATAGAGATACAGACACGAGTTTACTGTATAAACATCTTCTGGGAGAATAGAGTTACAGAGACGAGTTTACTGTATATACATCTTCTGGGAGAATAGAGTTACAGACACGAGTTTACTGTATCTTCTGGGAGAATAGAGTTACAGACACGAGTTTACTGTATAAACATCTTCTGGGAGAATAGAGTTACAGACACGAGTTTACTGTATAAACATCTTCTGAGAGAATAGAGTTACAGACACGAGTTTACTGTATAAACATCTTCTGGGAGAATAGAGTTACAGACACGAGTTTACTGTATAAACATCTTCTGGGAGGATAGAGTTACAGACAGGAGTTTACTGTATAAACATCTTCTGAGAGAATAGAGTTAGAGACACGAGTTTACTGTATAAACACCTTCTGAGAGAATAGAGTTACAGACACGAGTTTACTGTATAAACATCTTCTGGGAGAATAGAGTTACAGAGACGAGTTTACTGTATAAACATCTTCTGGGAGAATAGAGTTACAGACACGAGTTTACTGTATAAACATCTTCTGAGAGAATAGAGTTACAGACACAAGTTTACTGTTTAAACATCTTCTGGGAGAATAGAGTTACAGACACGAGTTTACTGTTTAAACATCTTCTGAGAGAATAGAGTTACAGACACGAGTTTACTGTTTAAACATCTTCTGGGAGAATAGAGATACAGACACGAGTTTACTGTATAAACATCTTCTGGGAGAATAGAGTTACAGAGACGAGTTTACTGTATAAACACCTTCTGGGAGAATACAGTTACAGAGACGAGTTTACTGTATAAACATCTTCTGGGAGAATAGAGTTACAGAGACGAGTTTACTGTATATACATCTTCTGGGAGAATAGAGTTACAGACACGAGTTTACTGTATCTTCTGGGAGAATAGAGTTACAGACACGAGTTTACTGTATAAACATCTTCTGGGAGAATAGAGTTACAGACACGAGTTTACTGTATAAACATCTTCTGAGAGAATAGAGTTACAGACACGAGTTTACTGTATAAACATCTTCTGGGAGAATAGAGTTACAGACACGAGTTTACTGTATAAACATCTTCTGGGAGGATAGAGTTACAGACACGAGTTTACTGTATAAACATCTTCTGAGAGAATAGAGTTAGAGACACGAGTTTACTGTATAAACACCTTCTGAGAGAATAGAGTTACAGACACGAGTTTACTGTATAAACACCTTCTGAGAGAATAGAGATACAGAGATGAGTTTACTGTATAAACACCTTCTGGGAGAATAGAGTTAGAGACACGAGTTTACTGTATAAACATCTTCTGGGAGAATAGAGTTACAGACACGAGTTTACTGTATAAACATCTTCTGGGAGAATAGAGTTACAGACACGAGTTTACTGTATAAACATCTTCTGGGAGGATAGAGTTACAGACACGAGTTTACTGTATAAACATCTTCTGAGAGAATAGAGTTAGAGACACGAGTTTACTGTTTAAACATCTTCTGAGAGAATAGAGTTAGAGACACGAGTTTACTGTATGAACACCTTCTGAGAGAATAGAGAAACAGAGATGAGTTTACTGTATAAACATCTTCTGGGAGAATAGAGTTACAGACACAAGTTTACTGTATAAACATCTTCTGGGAGAATAGAGTTAGAGACACGAGTTTACTGTATAAACATCTTCTGGGAGAATAGAGTTACAGACACGAGTTTACTGTATAAACATCTTCTGGGAGAATAGAGTTACAGACACGAGTTTACTGTATAAACATCTTCTGGGAGAATAGAGTTACAGACACGAGTTTACTGTATAAACACCTTCTGAGAGAATAGAGAAACAGAGATGAGTTTACTGTATAAACATCTTCTGGGAGAATAGAGTTAGAGACACGAGTTTACTGTATAAACATCTTCTGGGAGAATAGAGTTACAGAGACGAGTTTACTGTATAAACATCTTCTGGGAGAATAGAGTTACAGACACGAGTTTACTGTATAAACATCTTCTGGGAGAATAGAGTTACAGACACGAGTTTACTGTATAAACATCTTCTGGGAGAATAGAGTTACAGACACGAGTTTACTGTATAAACATCTTCTGGGAGAATAGAGTTACAGACACGAGTTTACTGTATAAACATCTTCCGAGAGAATAGAGTTACAGAGACGAGTTTACTGTATAAACATCTTCTGGGAGAATAGAGATACAGAGACGAGTTTACTGTATAAACATCTTCTGGGAGAATAGAGTTACAGACACGAGTTTACTGTATAAACATCTTCTGGGAGAATAGAGTTAGAGACACGAGTTTACTGTATAAACATCTTCTGGGAGAATAGAGTTACAGACACGAGTTTACTGTATAAACACCTTCTGAGAGAATAGAGAAACAGAGATGAGTTTACTGTATAAACATCTTCTGGGAGAATAGAGTTAGAGACACGAGTTTACTGTATAAACATCTTCTGGGAGAATAGAGTTACAGACACGAGTTTACTGTATAAACACCTTCTGAGAGAATAGAGAAACAGAGATGAGTTTACTGTATAAACATCTTCTGGGAGAATAGAGTTAGAGACACGAGTTTACTGTATAAAACATCTTCTGGGAGAATAGAGTTAGAGACACGAGTTTACTGTATAAACACCTTCTGAGAAAATAGAGATTAAACATTTAGTGTAAAAACTCTCTCAAACGCGTTCACAAGTTCATGACACTTCCGTCACACATCTGGAGTGAGTTAAAGAGCAAACTGAGTTCAGAGACGATGTAACTGCCAGAAACACACACACACACACACACACACACACACACACACACACACACACACACATTCTCTCTCTCTCTCTCTCTCTCTCTCTCTCTCTCTCTCTCTCTCTCTCTCTCTCACACACACACACACACACTCACACTCTCTCTCTCACATGCCCACACACACGTGACGTCACTGACAGCCAATCAGACAAGAGAAATCATCTGCAGATATCACTGATTCAGTCTGATTATATTTGTGTTCAATATTCGATTATATATCATATATATTATTCTCTGCATGTTCTCAGTGTGACACAGGTGTAGGTGGACAGGTCATGTGACAGGAAGTCTCACACACACTTCACTGTCCCACAGGAGGACACAGACGTGACACGACCCCTGACCTGTGTCAGTGCTGTATTACCCAGAATGCAGCAGAACAGCTGTGATCTCTCACACACACAGGATGAGTGAGCGGTCATGTGATCAAAACGGTGTACAGGATGGTCATCCCTCTTCAAAACATCCTCACGAATAT